TCATTTAGCTGTCAGAGCTCTTCCAACAGGTTGTTCCACAGTCTTGATTAGGACATGTCCATAAAATCAACAAGACATTTATTTATTTATTTATTTATTTATTTATTTATTTTATTTGATATACTTGTATACCGCTAATATCTCAGCCTAAATCGGCGACTCATTGCGGTTTACAGCAATTAAAAACAATCTCCAATTTAAAAACATATACACATACAATAACAAATTATTGGGCCACCAATAATAATCCCATATATCTCGAGTTGAAATCACAATCCAGAATTCGTTGAATTAATCAGTGGATTCAGTGCAATTTGTGTCTAGGTAAGTTGAAAACTTCTTTGTTTGGTCACAGCTAGTTTGTTATTTATATTGTTGTTGTGTAACTTCAAGTTGTTCTGACTTACGAAGCCCTAAGGCAGACCGGTCTCTGAGATTTATTGGCAAGTTTTGTTCAGAGGGAGTGTATCTTTGCCTTCCCCTGAGGCAGAGAAAATGTGACTTTCCCACGATCACCCAGTAGGTTTCCATGGCCAAGTGGGAAGTCAGACCCTGGTCTCTGGAGTCATAGTATGGTCCAAACCACAACACCTTACTGGTTCCCTATTCTTTGTATACATTGCTTTATTCGATGGCTGTAATTTCTCCTGTGCATTGTATTGTCGAAGGCTTTCATGGCCGGAGTCACTGGGTTGTTGTAGGTTTTTCGGGCTGTATGGCCATGTTCTAGAAGTTTTCTCTCCTGATATTTCACCTGCATCTATGGCAGACATCCATACCTCTGAGGATGCCTCCCATAGATGCAGGCGAAACATCATAATTCTCCTGTGCATTGTTGTTAAATTTGTTCAGAGTAGTATAAACTTTTTTTCTGTTGAGCACTTTGTTGACTGATACACGTAAGCAAAGATTTATGATTCTTGCATATTGTAAATGTTTCTTTAGATACCAGTTTCCTTCCCTTTGCTTTAATAGTGTGGAAAAATGGTAAATGAATCAATGGACCCTGAACTTCCTTTGTAGTAGTATCTTTAAGAAGAGTATTCTGCAACAATCAGAAAGTTATCAAAACATATACTTTTCAAAGTGATTATTGCTTTCCAATGAATATTTTAACCTAGTTATTTAATCTTTTTGGCCATTAGATTCTGTTAGATTTTATTTCCCTTTACTATCCAATACTCAGGGCCGTTTTGTTTGCTTCCTCTGCGTGACAGTGTTCTATATGGATATTTTTTTTCTATGTGGATAAAGCTCAGTGGGTTGAATCCAAATAGGTAGATATCTAATTCCATGCTATGGCTTACTTTGGACCTCATCACACTAGAAAATGAATCCACTTTAAATCCGAATGCTGCCTCCTGCAGAACTCTGGGGTTTGTGGTTTAGGGAGGAGCCTTGAACAGCCTCACTCAACTACAAACCCCAGAATTCTGCAAGAGGCAGTAACTGGATTGGAGTAATATGAGTTTATATTCATGGAACAGTAGGCTCTTTGCTATTTAGAGGAACATCAAAAACAATTTGTGATGCAATATAAATTGTTTTTATAGTTCCAGTTAGTCTATAGTCGTCTTGGCCCCATGTTGCTGGAGTCAGTTTATATTTTTTCTTCATATTTGAAAAGCTAACTACATTATATACTCCTAAGTCTAGGATTTTTAATCAAGACCAACCCAAAAAACTTTAGTCAACTAATCTATGGGTCAGTTTGAATACTGGGTCTTCACTCTTATATGAAAAAGGAACCATTCCATTCTCTGAGGAGATTGACAAAGAACAGAACTTAGTCCATCACAGCAACAAATCATTCTGTTCTCTGTGTCTTGGCCTTTTTGATTGCTTGAGTTGGAAAATGGCAGCAGTGGCCAGAAGTGGCTGGCTGTCCGAGTTGGTCAGTGCTTTCCCTTCTCCATGCACGCAGTGACCCCCAACTTATCAGTGGTTCATAACAAAATCCATAGTTTTGGCTCACAGACCTATTACTATTATTACTATGTTTATTGTGTTTATTTATGCCCTGCTTTTTCTCTGTACAACAGAGATTCAGAGCAGCTTAAAATAAAACTAGTACGATACAATTTAAAACTTAAAATTATACAAACATTAAAATAGAATTAAATATTAATGATATTAAAAACAAACAGTTAAAATCTTTATAAATAAATCCTTATATATTGGGTAAACTTGTACAAAGTAAATACCGTATATTTATTTTCTGCAGCTAGTTTAATTTGTTTCACTCCCTCCCCATATGATAGGAATGGCAGACCTAGTTTCGAGAGCAAAGACTATTTTTAACACACACATCACTTAGTAGCCTGTCCCATCCCCTTTTTACAGGTCAGTCATATGTTATGACTTTTATCAACTGTTCAGGGCAGCATTCCTTGAGAACACAAAACTGTAATTGTTTTTCAGATGATCAGTCTGAACCAGTTTTGCTACAAGGCCACTTCTGCAATTAGCTCAGTAGTTATTTGATCTTTGGGTGCTACTTGTTATTTGTGATATTGCCAGCTGGAATTACAATCTAGCATTGCAATAGATACTCAGTTGCTTCCTGTAAGAATGAAGATAAATCCAAGGTATCTTGCAGAGCTCATTAGTATAATGTGTGAAATCACAACATCTCTTCATTATCGCCTTAGCTATAAATGTATTTTGCAAACACATTTTTGACTGTGTATTGTTATTATTGAATTTATGCATTGTCTTGTTTTAAAATGTACACAAACTAGCTTGTGTAAAATCAATACAATCTGAACCAGGATTTTAAAAAATCAATGTAAAAATAAACATGTTAGGTAAACTAACAGTGGTTTAAAACAAGCATTAATCTTAAACAGTTGCAGAGTAGACAACAAAATCAAGATTCTCCAAAGGTCTATTTAAATACAGCTGGTTTTTGAAACAGGTAAAAGTGGTGGCCCAGGTATACTTCTCCTAGAAATCAATTCCACTTTCTGAGCACATAACCATGATGCTTCTCTTTTGGATATCTACTTGCCTAGTCTTAGAAATTGAGGAATCTGAACCTCCAATGAGAAATGAGTGTTCTGGATGGGTTTGTAAAGGGTGGATGGAGTCCTTGAAATAGTTGGATCTTCAGTTATTTATGGCTGTGGTTTCTAATCCTGGTTTGCCAGATGTAGTTGTGTAGTTGAGCTGCAATTCACAGAATCTTCTATCATGAGCGAGATATACATACAATTTCTGGGAGATGAGGTCTGACAACATCTCTGGATCCAAGATTAGGAACTCCTGATTCAAAGTGAGGTTTAAAGATTAAAGACAGTGGTGGAATGAACTTTCAGGCAAACTTGGCGCTCAGCACATCCAATTATACTTTGAAGACGCATTATTTCAGCATTGCAAACAAACTTGCTAGCAATGCATACAGGAGCACTTCCACTCCATTGTTCTGTGTATACTTGCTGTAGCCAAGTCTGGTTTTGTTGTTGTTGTTTATTCGTTCAATAGTTTCCTACTCTTCGTGACTTCATGGACCACTCCACGCCAGAGCTCCCTGTCGGTCGTCACCACCGCCAGCTCCTTCAAGGTCAATCCAGTCACTTCAAGGATACCATGCATCCATCTTGCCCTTGGTCGGCCCCTCTTCCTTTTTCCTTCCATTTTCCCCAGCATAATTGTCTTCTCTAAGCCAAGTTTGGTTACAAGATTTATATCATTAAGAGAACAACAATCACAAAGAGAAGTTGATTTGTGTGATTCAGCTTAAATAAATTTGATACATGTTAACTTATTGCATGCTGATATAAAGTTTGAGCATTCTTTCTCCAAAAATGCAAAATCTCCAAAATCCAATCTTGTCCACATGAGAAAGTGACACCTTTGCTTTCTGATGGCTTTGTGTACATGAACTTTGTTTTATGCACAAACTTATTTAAAATATTGTATAAAATTAGCTTTGTGCTTTTTTTATATAGGTGTATATGAAACATAAATGAACTTTGTGTATATATTTGGATCCCATCTCCAAAATATCTCATTATGTGCATATATACATATATGCAAATACAGAGTTTCAGCTAAGTTACAGACAACCTGTAGTGAATGTATGCATTTGTTGAAATCTATTCCTGCGGGTAAGACATAATGCAGCAATGGAAAGTAGTGAAAGATGGTTCGCTGCTTACATTTTTGAAAGAAAAAGCTTTTATTGTAGTTAACTGCTGTCAAATCAACTTAGACTTATGTCAAACCTATGTATAAATGATCTCCATCATCAACTGCCCTACTCAGGTCTTGCAGATTCAAGACTGTGGCTTTCTTAATCGAGTCTAACCATCTGAATGCTGTCTTCCTCTTATCCGTAGCCTTCTGCCTTCACAAGATTGTCTTTTCTAGTGGGTCATGTCTTCTCAAATTGTTTTAAAAGCATGACCATTTTAATGTACCTATCTTCTAGGTAGAGGTCAGGCTTGATTTGGTTTTTTTTTGGAAACATCTATATTTGCCCTTTTAATATTCCACATCTATGGAACTCTTGCCCCCCCCCCCCAAATATTTTAAAGTAAATATCTGTAGAACTCTTGTTTCTATCAGCTTTCTTCACTGTCCAACAATATATAGAAATTTGAAGTATATAATGGCAAGAATAAACCTAAGGTTATATTCAGTATTTAATATACCTTCTTTCTATGCATGTGGAACATGCAAGATCATATGCAAAGTGCTTTGTTTTCAACAATTGTAACAATGTGTACACCCTAGAAATGTATCCTGTTCCCCTAAGAATATTGGGAGGGGGGTATTCCCCACACCCTGCTGTCCTTTCTTTGGGTGAACAGCCCACCCAATGTTTTCACCCTAGTCCTTTGCCCTCTATGACCTACTGTCTGGGGTTTTCTGTCAATTGTTTCAAGAAATAAATATATAGTTGGATTGCTGGTTCAGTTTAACATGTAAGAAATAGGAAGACTGGCTGCTTGATTTGGTGGATGACTCATGTAATAATTCAAAAATTCTGTTTGCAGGTTGAATTCTCCTATCCGCCACTCATCCCAGGAGAAAGCCATGACAGTCACAGTTTGCCAGAAGAATGGAAGTACCTGCCTTTCCTTGCATTGCCAGATGGTGCTCACAACTATCAAGAAGGTAAGAAGCCACCTTTGATGGTCCTACATGATTAGCATGCCTAACAAATATATAATATTAGTGAATATCTAGGCCTCACTGAGAACAGGGCCAAAATAAATGTTAGTTTAATTACCTGACTACCAATAAAGTCAGGGTTTAAAAAATACTCTTAATTATGGGGCAGTTCATCAGCATTGAAGTGTGTCTTGTCTTGTTTTCATCTTCAACAAAAAATATTTCCTTTTGATGCCGTTGGAAGGAAGCTTTTTTATATAATGGGTGCACTGATTGGCGTATTAAATTAGGCAAAGTGTGAATTACAGGTAACTTTGCTACAGAAGAATAATGGGGAAAGTAGTTGGTGTTTACCTGCTATCTAAAATTTTACTAAATGTCACAGACAAATGCAAAAATAGGAGCACAGCTGCTGTCCATTCTGTTGCTGCAGCAACAAGCCATTAATTGCTAACAATTAGTGTGTAGCTTTTTTGGGCAGAAAGAGTTCTTGTAAGTTCTCATAGCAACAAAACTATTCAGTTGAAAGCATTTTCCTGGGTATTGCGGCTTTTCTTTGCCGGTTGGATGTTTACAACTGTTGTCGGAGCTTGTCAGGCTGTTAGAAAGTGAGGGAACTGTCACAAATGGCAGATGCAAGTGACATCCTTGCAGCTCGTGAGCTTTTGTTGTTCCATGTGGTTGGAGAACAAAACAGCATATGTCTCATGGTATATCTTGGGCCACCTGAACTAGCTTGTGAAAGAAGATTCAATTCCTAGTCCAATCTGTTTCTGTATGGACTGGAGAAGAAGTGCCATTTTGTCCTTCACCTCATATAGTGTTGGGATGACTCTGGGTGCTGTTAAGATATAACAGAGCTGTTCTTGAGGGAGACAGCAGAAGAGGCAGTTTGGTTGAGGTTTTCTGTTAGTAATACTGACAATTACGCTAAAATGTATGTTGGGCATGAAGGCTCTGCTGTTAAATGGCTGATGCATCAGAGGCTAACAGGTGAAGGGAAGGGCTTCTCCATTTCTAGCTTCTTTTGTAATTGTACCACTGTGTCCTGACATCTGAGAAGAGGCATTTGTGGTGCTGAATTTCACATATTGATTGAATTGCCAGTTCTTGCTTTGATTCAAGTTCACTTATAGAGAATTATAGAGAATAATGGTTGTAGGGGGCGGAAACTCTTAAGAAGAAGTATACATTTCTTCATCCCCATTGTTTGAAGTGTTTTCTCATCATCACCATAGAAAATTCCATTGGTGGATGAGTAAAATATTATTTTTTCTATTACTGTGGACATCCAAATATAGGCAGTTCCCAAGTTACAAATGTCCTACTTACATAGGACTTAGTAACAGAGGACATAGTAGCAAAGATGAAACAAGAGGAAGTGAGAGGAAATACACCTCTAGGAAGGGAAATTTGCTCCTGAAAGAGTTATCATGGGGAAAAGGTGTCTCCACTGAAGATTTATCACCATTCCTTCTTTCTATGACAACCTGAAATTTTCAAAATCCAATTGTCACAGGGACCAAAAGTGAGGTAAAATCTTCTGAATAAGGGCACAAACAGCAAAACATACATTATGGGTGTGTTAACATTTCCCTAAGGTATCCAAAACTTTTAAAAAATTAGTTACGGTGGTATTGAAAAGTGTAACTCAATGGAAACGTCAAATCTTGATGTGATACTTTGCTATTGAGTCTTACCACAACCTTTCTTCTCTTTCAGACACTGTGTTTTTCCATTTGCCACCAAGAAGTGGAGATCGGAGCACAGTATATGGTGTCTCATGTTATAGACAAATTGAAGCTAAGGTACTTGTGTGAAACCTAAAAATAAAATAAAGGAGCTATGGTTGTGAATGGTCTTTTTGAATGGAAAATTATGTGTACATTGGAGGCATTGAGTTGTTGCCGGCTGGAAGCCGCCCTAAGTCGTCCCCCCCCCGGGGGGGGGGGGGTTGAGAAGGGCAGGGTACAAATATCTGAAATAAATAAATAACATTGTAGGAGGACAATAACATATTAAAATTTATTAATTAAAGAAGTCTGAACAAGAATCAATATAATTGGTGCTTTGAGTCTCTTTAAAGAGACAAAAAGTAGATATCAATAAATATTATACTAATAATATAAAGATAATTAAAGCTGAGAATATTTTAATCTTGGTCTGTTGAAAGGTTGGGAATTAGATTCTCCTTTGGTGTAGTACATAATTTTTCCTGAGGATTTTCATTACAGAGTGAGTGACATTTGAAAGTCTCAGTGCCTATCCTAGATTCAACAAAAGACTTAACAGAGCAACAGAGCAAAAAAAAAAAAAAACTGCTCACTTAATTGTACTCTGTTTAACTTACCTAAATAGTACCTTAAGAGAAATGTATTCTTAATATAGTTTTGTATAATGCAAAGCTATGCTATATCCCTCCATTGCATTAATTGTTCAATTCCATATCTGCCAGTGTAGAGATGCAGCAGAACTAAAGCTACTAAATTGTATCTTTAATTTTTCCTAACACTGTTTTGCATTTGAAAAAAATGCCACACATTTACATGTGTTTTCAAAGGTTTTTCAGAAATTTTGCATAGCGCTGGAAACTAAAACTGAAGGGAAACAAACTTCTTTAGCCACTTCATGTGAAATGTTTGACTTAACATTTGGCAATTATTTAATTAGATAATGACAAGACAAAACTCTTTTTTTTCAGAGCTAATATTAAGGTTGCATTATAAGTACTTTGACAAAGGAAGATATTCTGAAGTATCAATTACTTTGTAATAAGGCATTGGGAATAATATTAATGTATTTTTAAAATCAATGAGTATCAAAACAAAAATGTAAAAGATATAGTACTAGCAGTAAAGGACTAGAATTCGATCCAGTGGGTTGAATTCCTCTCCTGTTACTGCATTCAAGTATTTCCTGGAAGTGAAATACTTTTTCACACTGCTTTTTCCTGATTGACCCTTCCTTCCTTCCTTCCTTCCTTCCTTCCTTCCTTCCTTCCTTCCTTCCTTCCTTCCTTCCTTCCTTCCTTCCTTCCTTCCTTCCTTCTGTCTCTTCCCCCCCCCCCCTTCATAATGCATCATGTATTTGAGCAGAACATCAGCCTGCAGGCAGCCTATCTATTTCTATTTTCTTGTAGTGTTTCTTGTTTATAACCAAGTGGCCTTTTGTGGAAAAACAGCCAGACTGAGTATTTTATTTTCCAGTGAAAATGAATAAAAGTGTGACAAAAGCTTATTCTTTGCATCTCCCCTCCCCACATTCTTTTTTAAAAGGCACTGAAAGTACGGCAAGCAGATATTACCCGAGAAACAGTACAGAAAAGTGTTTGTGTTCTGTGTCAGCTGGTAAGATATAGTAACATTTTTAGAAACAACTTTGTTTTTTTTAGATGTTTCTTTTATGTTTCTTTGAAAAGCGGCATGAGCACTGAAATCTCAGACAAAGGCATCCTTTCATAATCATATCTCCGTGAAATGGAAAAAAATCTGGGTTGTTGAAGGTTTTTTCGGGCTATATGGCCATGTTCTAGAGGCATTCTCTCCTGACGTTTTGCCTGCATCTATGGCAAGCATCCTCAGAGGTAGTGAGGTCTGTTGGAACTAGGAAAAAGGGTTTATATATCTGTGGAATGACCAGGGTGGGACAAAGGACTCTTGTCTGCTGGAGCTAGGTGTGACTGTTTCAACTGACCACCCTGATAAGCATTTGATGGCCTGGCAGTGCCTGGGGCAATCTTTCGTTGAGAGGTGATTAGATGTTCCAGATTGTTTCCTCTCTGTTGTTTTGCTGTTGTAATTTTAGAGGGTTTTTTTAATACTGGTAGCCAGATTTTGTTTATTTTGATGGTTTTCTCCTTTCTGTAGAAATTGTCCACATGCTTGTGGATTTCAATGGCTTCTCTGTGTAGTCTGACTTGGTGGTTGTTAGAGTGGTCCAGCATTTCTGTGTTCTCAAATAATATGCTGTGTCCAGCTTAGTTCATCAGGTGCTCTGCTATGGCTGACTTCTCTACAAACTACTCAGAGAACACAGACTACACAGAGAAGCCATTGAAATCCACAGCAAAACAACAGAGAGGAAACAATCTGGGACATCTAATCACCTCTCAACAAAAGATTGCCCCAGGCACTGCCAGGCCATCAAATGCTAATCAGGGTGGTCAGTTGAAACATTCACACCTAGCTCCAACAGTCAAGAGTCCTTCGTCCCACCGTGGTCATTCCACAGATATATAAACCCATTTTCCTAGTTCCAACAGACCTCACTAACTCTGAGGATGCTTGCCATAGATGCAGGCGAAACGTTAGGAGAGAATGCCTCTAGAACATGGCCATATAGCCCGGAAAAAACCTACAACAACCCAGTGATTCTGGCCATGAAAGCCTTTGACAATACATGGAAAAAAATCTGTTTGTAAACTATGAAGATGCTGCATTCCAATAATACATCCCATAGCATTAGTTTTTTAAACAGCACTTCTGACTTTGAAGACACTTTCAATTTTTGAAAATCATTAAAATTTTGGGGTCTGTTACTGAACTGGTATGAAAGTGAGAGTAGAGAGTGGCTTGTCATGGTTATAGTTCTAAGTAAAGGAAATATAATTATGTACTATAATTATGTACTATAATTATGTACTCAGAACAGAGGTCTTTTCCAACATGACTCTTAAAGATCATCTGATGTAATAGCTATCTAATGTGAAAACCCCTGCATATGTGAACCCCAGATCTATTTTTAAGGCACAGGGACCTTAACATTTTAAGATCAATTTAGGAGGTTCTGTGGTTTTTAACTGAATATGTTTTAATGGTTTTTAACTGTGATTTTTTAAAATACTGTTTATATTTAATACTCTTTTAATGTTTGCATATTTGTATATTGTAAGTTATATGCTAATCCATTTATGTTAAGCTGCTTTGAGTCTCCTTCAGGAAAATTAAAGCGTGGTATAAAAATATTATTATAATAACAACAACAGCAACGACAGGCTAGTTGATATTTTGTTTACTTGCAATGTGAGGGTAAATTACTTTTTCTATCCATTATCATTAAAACATATGTATATATAGGGCCCATATAACCCAAAATATCTGCTTTGAACTGGGGGGCTTTCCACACAGTCTTATATCTCAGAATATCAAGACAGAAAATCCTACATTATCTGAATGTGGACTCAAATAACCTAGTTCAAAGCAGAGACTGTGGGATTTTCTGTCTTGACATTCTGGGATATAGGTTTGTGCGGAAGGGCCCTGAGTTATCTGAGTTCACACTGCCATATATTCCAGTTCAAAGCAGATAATGTGGGATTTTATTGAGCTGTGTGGAATGGGGCATAAAAGATTCTTAGAAGTATAATGTATTCTTAGAAGTGCCATACGTGTGTTCAGTATAGCTTACTTCATTATTCCTCGAAGGATTCAAAAAACAACAGCTGTCTAATTTCTTAGTGCTTGATCATTTAGTTCACTTTTGACTTATAAGTCCTGACTGGACTATATATGAGTTTTGGTGATCTAGCTTTGTCAGATCATTTTAAGAGAGGGGGGCTTCAAGCCCATCCATATCGCCATTCTAGGGTTCATATCTGCATCAGCATGAGTATGAATCTTATGTAGTAAATTACAGAGAAATGAATAAATCAGGTATCCTCAAACTGCGGCCCTCCAGGTATTGGGCCTCCAACTCCCAGAAGCCCTAGTGAGCTTGTTCAACTGTCAGGAATTCTGGGAGTTGAAGGCCCAAACAGCTGGAGGGCCACAGTTTGAGGATACCTAGAATAAATGAATATGGAATCAAGCTGTTTCTCATCCAGCACTTATTACCACTGCACTAGTTCTCAAATTTGAGCAGCATGGCACCAGGCATGTAGCGGGGGGGGGGGGGCTTGAGGGGCTTCCGCCCCCCCCCCCCCGAAATTCTCATGGTGGTTCGCGAAAAGGCCTTACTGGTGCATTATTTAAACTGTTATGTTTATTCATATCATGATCTGATCACCATACTCAATATATCCCATATGCATGGGGGTATTGGGTAATGATACAAAAGGTTTGCTAGGGTAGACCCTCTTTCACTCAGACTCAGCCCCCCCACCCCCCTGAAAATTCCCCCCCCCCCCCCCCCCCAAAACGAAATCCTGGCTACGGGCCTGCATGGCACTATTCTATATTTACTGTTGTACTCTTCAAAAGTATATTGTAATTGAAGAAACTGTAAACTCTGATCAGATAGGAGCCAAGGCTGTCTTTGAAGCCAAGATTCTATTGAATAGAATGGCTAAAAGTCATTTTTATAAATGGACCTTTGAGGGAAAATACAGTTATTGGGGATAATGCACATTCATGTGTACAGGATATTTCATATTTAGAACTGTATTCCTTTCTTGAAATAATGTGGATTTTTTTCTTCTTGCAAGCCTCTATATGGGCTTCTCCAGGCTAAACTACAACTCATTACACATGCCTATTTTGAAGAAAAGGACTTCTCGCAAATTTCAATTCTTAAGGTATGGTTTTAATGTACAAAAGTTTATAGATACTTGAGCTAAAATTAAATGTAATACTTGGTAATTCCAAGTGTGGTATGAATGACAGAGGATCTTCATTATTTGTCTGATTGCTACATACTAGCATTTTTAAGCTACTCTTTTTTAAAATTGTCAACTCTGTCTGCCATTTGCTTTTAAGAACTTCGGGCAGAATCCTTTTTAGTCCTGTCTGATGAGACTGAGTTCTCTCTCATCCAAACAGTGACAACTCCTAACCCTTTTTAGTTTCTAAAATCAGGTGAGATCAATAATGTACAAAAGTGGTATCATGGTAGGTAAAAAGCTGCACTTATTGGAGCCCACAGACAGAATCAAAGGAAAGGGTCATTGCTGATAGATGGAGCATGTTCTCTTTAATCACAAAGTCCCAGATCTAATCCAAGGCATCTTCAAAAGAAAATGAGGAAGACCCCTACTTGACATCCTAGAGCTGCACTTAGCACATGCCTTAAGTGGGTTGCATAAAGGTTTCATACAACAAAACTGGATGACCATCAATCTGCTACTAAAAATCTGATCTAAGGGGCTGAAATACCCTCCAAGTTAGTATCCATGGGAAAAGAGGAATTAGCAAAACACATTATCTTGCTTCTTTCCTCTAATGCGGCCTTCACTGGATCACATTTCCTTCTGCCAAGTGAACAAGGCTTTCCCGTTAGTGAAGGACAATTCTGATTCTAACCCAGTAGAGACAACACTGTGGTAGATGACCAGATATTTTTACTGAATATAAGTCAGCATCCTATCTTTTTAGAATTAACCAGGCAATTAATTCCGGTTTACTCTTCTTTTTCTTAAGTAGTCTCTTTTATTATCCACCGCAGACTGCCTTCAAAAAAACGTTTGTAGTGTAACATGAACACACCAACACGAACAGAGAACTCCCATTGGGCATATGAAGGATCTGTGTATATTTCAAGAACCTCTTTGGATTCCAGTTCATGCCCATAGGAGCCTGTTAGTTAGATGTTCATGCCTTTAGTGCAGAGGTGTCAAATTTATTTTCTTTGGAGGCTACATCAGCCTTATGGTTGCCTTCTAAGGACCATTGAATCCATGAACTGAAAAGCCAACTATATGTATATATTTTCATAGCGCTCAGTGCTCTTTAGTTTTTTCCCAATTTGGATCCCCAATTGCTATTGAATGACAATTCCCATCACTTGATTATTTGCCATGCAAGCTGGGGACAATTAGAATTGCAAACCAGTAGCACGTGGCTTTGAAGTTGGGAAAAGGTGAAAGGATGCATCACAGACATCATGTGAGAGAATTGGCCATCTGCAAGGACATTGCCCAGGGGACACCTGGATGTTTTGATGTTTTACCATCCTTGTGGGAGGCTTCTCTCATGTCCCCGCATAGGGAGCTGGAGGTGACAGAGGGAGCCCATCTGTGCTTTCCCTGGATTCAAACCTTCATCCTGTCAGTCTTCAGGCCTGCTGGCACAAGGGTTTAACCCATTGCTCCACTGGGGGATCCTTCTGTCTAATGATGAGGAAGACAAAAACTGCAGTTGAGCTTCTGGAGGGACACATAAAATGAAAAGGAGAGCCACATTCAGCCCATGGGTCTTACGTTAGACACCTGCACTTTTGTGACTCGTTTCAAAATAATGCCAAAACTCTTAGTATTTTATATCTTTGCTATACAAGGTTGACAAGATTTTTAATTTACTTTCTGGTATCTTACAGAGTGTTGTTAATGCTTTATATTATTTTTAAAGGAACTTTATGAACATATGAACAGCTCACTGGGAGGAAGCTCATTAGAAGGATCACAGGTTTATCTTGGTAAGTTAAACTGACTACACATCTTACAATTGCTTTATTTTCCTTTAATCAAGTATAATAGTGCATATAAACTCTTACACCAAGTTGAATTGCCTCAATAATTTACTAATTATTGTGATTACCTTTCCCTTCAGTCATGGGTAAAGGAAATTGCTTGACCACAAAAACTCAAAGGTTTCCTTCTTTTAAGTGGGATTTTTGGCATTTCACTTGCTTGGCTGCTTTCTTAAAATTGTGTTTATTGAGAAACAAAGGATGGATTATTAAAGGTGTATTAATAGCGATAGCCGAGCAGAACATGCAAGTTTCCAACCTACTGTGTTTTTTCTGTTTGTGAGAAAAGGCAACTGTCATTGGTGGTTACAATCAATTCATGCTTAAACCAAATAGTTGAGCATTTTCCAGTGAAAATACTTTGTCTTAAATACTACTAACCAATAAATATAAAATATTTTAATCCTACTGCCATCATATTTCCCCCCAAGTATAATAAATAGGATCATGTTCAACATCTTTTGCTCTCCATATTTTCAGGTCTATCTCCACGAGATCTTGTCCTCCAATTTAGACACAAGGTATATTGTGAATTTGTGTAATGTTTACAGAAAATATATTTTGTTTGTGATCTATAAGTATGTTACAAACACTTTTAACGGTCTAAGCTACACCATGTTTTTTTAAGCATGTGCTATTTTTTTCCATATTTTTTTTTCTTGTGCAACCCACCAGTTTGGAGGGAGACCTGACATTTATTTCACTTCCTGCCCATATGACTCTATTAACTATTCTACATGATAAGGGGAGCATTTTGTACTTCATACTCTTATGTTTGATTTTGCAATCCAAAACAGAATGAATGTGTTCACCAAACTGGTTAAAGGGAATAGTATGATAACCATACTTGATTGTTTGTGCCATGGATGTTTAATTACACTAGCCAACACACATTTTGGTGCCTTAAATATTAGACCTGTTTTTGGTATATTTGACCTGATGATTTCTAAAATGGTACCAGTTCTCCCTGATGAGCTCTAGTTTTTGAGATATGGAACATATGCTATGTACTAATCTTCATCTGCATGCCCACAGAAAACCATGATATATGGTTATTGTGGTTTTCTGTGGGCATGCAGATGAAAACTAGTACATAGCATATGTTCCATATCTAAGACACTAACCCTGATTCAGTCTATCCAATGTAATTTTCTGAATCTGATCCCAAATAATCCCAGAAACACACAAAAAGAACCAAGACACCAAGACTTTTTTGCTGGCCTGTGTGATTGGTTGTAAATTGATTTTCAAGCTAAATGTGAAGTTCTGATTTATGGATTTTTTAAAAATCTACATAATCTCAAGATCATATTATATATATATATATATATATATATATAAAATTTATAAATTTGTCCAACAAAATGTATGAGCATACATTCTTCTCTCTTTTTACAGTATCTTAGACAAAATAATTTGTCATATTATATACAATCTAACAGTAAAAATCATCAAAAACATATTCAATCATATTCCTTATCATTATTTTTAAATTTCCATTACAATTTATACTGCATATATCTCTAACACAAGAGATCATGTAGTTATAACTGATTTTGATAGTGGAAGCAGCTCGGAGAGATGCTTAATGTCAAATATGTATCCATTTTATTGTGTATTAAACCTCTAGACCAAGTGTGGAAATTGTGTGGCAGCTTCCAGCATTCTATTTATAAAACTTCTCTTTATAGAAAAATGCATGCTTTTATAAACTACCTTATGCTTTTTGTATTTTTTTTACCCATTTAAGTATTATAATAGAAAGACCAGGTAAAAAGATAATAACATAACTTTTTTAATTCTGTGAGTCTTTATGAGGCATTTATGCAATACTAAATGGAAAAGTTCAACAAAAATTCAACGTATGGAATTATTGTTGATGTTTTCAGATATGTACATTGTTGTGTGTCTCTATGTTTTGTTTTGTTTTTAGGTCTTGATTCTTTTTAAGCTGATTCTTCTAGAGAAAAAGGTAAGAGATTCCCAACTCCCCAAAGCTGCCGGGGGGGAATAAAACAGGCATTTTATCTGAGTGGTTTATTTGAAACATATTAAAGATCTCTGTGAATAGATGAAGTGCACAGTCCTACACAAACAGTGAGCTGATTTGCAGTAGCAACTGTTCTGTTTGCCTATTTGTAATGTTTCATTTGTAACAGCTGCCATGACAAAGGTAATTCGTCAAAGATATGTCAGCAGAAACCCCATGTAAAATTCTTGGTTAGAAAATATGTAACAGGTCCACAATAGAGAGTAGCCAACTGGAACAGAAAAAAAATAAAGCTGTACAAATGACTATAGGAAAGAAAACAACAAACAAACAAGTATGAGGACATACCTGAGTTCCTTTAATAATTGTCAAGCCATATCTTATAAACAGGCAGTTCAATTACAGATTACACTCTGCATTGTTCTGCCTTTAGGTTTAGATTGCCACAATAATAGAGTTTATATAAAAATGGATGATGGAAAGGGTCAGCTATGTCACACTTGTATGCCATGTGTGTAAGAAGTGATATGTTTGAACTCTTGACAAATCAAAACATATGAAAGCTCAGAAGAGATACTATTATAATTTCATATTTGTCTGTCTAATTCTGAAGTGCTGGGGCCTCCTGGAGTGGTTCCTTGAACCAAAGACAGGGAGAATTCTGAAAGGGGAGTATCGTTTGCTTCCTATTTCAGCAATCCCTGGAAAAGACAGTTCTCCCAGGAATGGGTGAACTTTGGCCCTCCAGGTGTTTTGGACTTCAAATCCCACAATTCCTAATAATCGATAAGCTGGCTGGGATTTCTGGGAATTGAAGTCCAAAACAGCTGGAGGGCCAAACTTTGCTCATGCCTAGGATGTCCTACTTTGAGTTTTGGGCTTAGGACATGGAAATAACCAGAACAAGCTTTAGTCTTCAAATGTCCCAAAAGAAGAGAGGAATAAAAATCTCTCATGAGACAAACGACAAGAGTGAATATACTAGCACTTTATGTCTTTAACTCAGTCTCAGGCCTGTTGGCTGAGACATAGACCTATTTGCAGCATATAAATATTTACAGACCATATTACAAACAACTTTGTTTATTCTTAGGCTTTGGATATAGATTTATTTATTATTCATGCTGGCTATTCTACCAATGATCTTTGTGCTCAGTTAGATACATGGCTCTTTCATGTTCCCGTTTATGCTCATAACCATCCTGTGAGATAACTTAGACAGAAAGAGAGACTCACTCATAGTCAACTAGTGAGTATAATGGCTCATCCGGGACAAGAACCTGGATCTCCCAAGTCTCAACCCAACCATCTCCCAAGTCCCAGCATCCTTGAATAACCTATTCAAAATGCTTGAATGTGAAGGGAAATCAGCAGTGGCTAGATGTTTATCTTTTAAACTTACTACTAGTGAATCTTCCTTCCAGAGTTTGAGAATTCTACATGTTGCATGCATGTTGTCCTCTATAGCAAATAAAATCCAAATGTTTATATTAATGCTTTCTCTGGACTCTGTCAAATTGGATGTTATGAATTGGCATTCCTAAGGATTTCCTTCTTTTTGCCAAGGTATTATCATTTGTGATGTTATTTTTTCCCATTTCAGGTTCTATTTTATATTTCTCCAGTGAACAGGCTTGTGGGAGCCCTCATGACTGTCTTATCCCTCTTTCCTGGTAATTGCTTTTATTTATGTTTATTGACCGGAACCAGTGGTTCCCAACCTGTGGTCTGCAAGAACGAAAATAGGGTCTGTGGCCTCACCATTACTATACTGTTGTCTTGAAACCAAGTGGCAACGAGAGCGACTGGTCTTGCAAAACCCTCTTATAGTGCCGAGGCAACGGGGATGTCGGGAGGGGGGAGGCTGACTACCCATGAAGGATTACTACTACCACATCAGCTCTAGATTATTAAATATGGTTTTCTATGGGTGAGCAAATGGTGACTACTGGATGGTATATGTTCTGTATCAGAAACTAGAGCTGATGTAATATATCCAATGCAGTTTTTTGAATCAGCAACCTAAATAACAAAACCAAATCTAAATTTGACCAAAAACCGATTCGTAACCCTTTTGGTACTAATGTTGGAGAGTGGTGTCTGGCCAAAGTGGTACCTGTTCAAATGGTCCCTGGTCAAAGTGGTCCCTGGTCAAAAAAAAAAGGTTGGGAACCACTGACCTAAACATATTTATCACTAGCTGTCCTCTGCAATGCATTGCTACGGCCCTGTATGTGTATATGCGTTTTACGTGTGTATATATTTGTCTGTATGTGTGTTTGCGTATATATATATGTGGTTTTGCAGATGCGCTGTAATTTTTGTTTTTTGACTTTTTAAGTCTGTTCTGCTGTGTTTTTCAGTGTTTTTATGAGTGATGGTCACTCATTGGCCTGATAGGTATATTGTGTCCAAATTTGGTGGCAATTCGTCCAGTGGTTTTTGAATTATGATAATCCTACAAATGGACATTGCAATTTTACTTATATAGATAATAACAGACCTGGGACCACTGATCACCTTTAATGACAACATCTGCATGAATTAATGACTTACGTAAATATATACAAGTATCCCAAACAGGAGATTCATGCTTTAATGGAATCCATTGCCCACTACCTTGAATAGTATTTAAGAAATGAATGATACCCCTCTGTCAATTGTTGTTAGCCATGATGCCTAATCTCCACATGCAGAAGCCGTATTTTCTGGAATACTAACTTTGGGAAAAAGCAGTGCTGTTGCTTTTGTAACTTTAGAAGCATCTGATTGACTGCCAAGGATAAAAAAGGATGCTACACCATTTATATTGTTTCTTCACAAAGATGTAACATTTCCAAAAAATTTGAAGCCACACATCTTTCTTCAGTAAAAATGGAATTTTCTAGGGAAAAATCATTATTAGCACCTTGTACAGATTGAAAGTCATTTTGTCATTTTAGAAATAGAAAATGCAGCGTAACACATTATTGTATTTCACATACTAAAAGCATGATTTAATTAGGAAAAAATACAAACCATGCTGAAATTCTTATTATTTCTAGGTATGATAGAACATGGTCTTACTGACTGTTCACAGTACCGGCCAAGAAAGAGCGTAACAGAGGATGTTGGTCAGCAGGACTTTCCCCCTCTGGATTATTACGTTTCCATGTCTTCTGTGGCACTTTCAAATACAAATCTTGGGAAGACAGGGGAACAGCAGACATTGTCTGGAAACCAAGAGGATGAACCTTTATTCCAGGCTGAGGACCACCTTCATGAAACTCAGGCCTCCAAGGACACTGAGCAGCATTTGAAGCCTCCATCTCGTACTTCTCCAGAATCCTCTGAAAGTGACTGGGAGACCTTAGACCCTAGTGTTCTAGAGGATCCCAATTTGAAAGAAGAGGAACATGAAATCCCTGCAGTGGCAGGGCAGACTGAAATCCTCCCAAAGGAATCTGCAATCTCTGAAAGCATTCCAATTACTGTGCAACCTCAACCTAACGCAGGTCATGCAGTACTTGTTCCTGGACTTATATCCGGTTTGGAAGAGGACCAGTATGGCATGCCATTAGCTGTCTTCACCAAGGTAAGTTACATAATAACTAATAGGCAATGTATCAGAAGGTTAAGGCTCCTGTGGCCCCAGGCTCACTTCTGCAATCTCCAAACTGCCCAAACCCCTCCGTTTTTTTAAAGATATATTTTCACCTTCAAACAACTCAAAATATGCTAAGCTTCCCCAAAATATACTCATATTTACTCAAATCTAATGTACACCTTTGGGGGGGGGGGAGTTACATCGCTAAAATTCAGGTGCCCATTAGATTCAGTGGCAAATTAGAATTACGCACCTATACCTACCTGTGGTGTTGGGCAAGAGATCCTGGTTGGGGACAGAGGAGGGAGAGGCAGTGGTGGCTGCGAAAAGGCTGGTGAGAAGCTGATGGTGGCCTCTAAGGGCAGTGGGAAGCCACTGGTGGCCCCAAAAAGGCTGGTGGGAAGCTGATGGTGGCCCCAAAAAGGCTGGAGGGAAGGCTTGATGGAGGAACACTGGAGGAGCAGAAGCTAGTGGTGGCTGCGAAAAGGCTGGTGGGGAGGCCAGACAGAGAAGTGAGGCTTCCCACTAGCCTTGTTGCAGCCACATCCCTCTTGCATTACATTTGACAACATTTTTTTTTGTAATGCACACTTTCAAAATTGAGATGTACATTATCTTTGATGGCACATGATACTCGAGTAAATGCAGATAGTAATTTTTCTTCCCTCACTCAGTTCCACAGTTCACTAAACTCTCCAGCATTTGCCATATTAGTCAAAAAAACTAAAAGGGGTGTTACTTCCCTTTAAGTTCCAGAAAGCATGGTGATGTGGCCCAGTTGACATGGAAGGGGGAAGTACATTAGGATAGTTGCCTCCTCCAATCTAAAGCATAATAAACTTGGAATGAGTTTAGATCATTATCATGAGTAAAGAGGGAATAAAGTGTGTCGCAAGTCAAAGCCTTGCATTATGGAGGTTTCAGGGAGATTAGGTCAGCCATCCTGTCAGGAAGGATAAATATCAAAATGGGAAGTGGGGAAAAAGATGTTTTGCACAATACAGTGTTTTCAGCTCTTTGTATGTTAGGCAGCTCGGCCAAGAGTGCTAGTGGTGTCCAACTTTTTTCATTGGGTAGCTTGACCTAAGAAGGTATTTTTTTATATTAGAGAAAGCAAAGATAAGTGAAGCAAATGAAGAACTTCACTCGATCCCTTTGCTATGTTCAAGGCTACATTCATGATTCAGGGCTCCACTAAGATATAGCAGCAAATGCTATCTCTGATACTATCAGATCTTACACCAAGAGTGTTTCAATCACCTAGTAGTGATTCTGGGATCTGTCTTCGTAACTCAGATTATGAATTGATGACTAATTTAAGTCCTTACTGCTGTAATTTAAATTGACAACATATACTGTATATACTCAAGTATAAGCTGGCCCAAATATAAACTGAGGCACCTAATTTTACCACAAAAAACTGGGAAAATGTATTGACTCCAGTATAAGACTAGGGTGGGAAATGCATCAGCTACTGGTAAATTTCAAAATAAAAATAGATTGCAATAAAATTACACTAATTGAGGCATAGAGCTTCTCATATCTTCTCGGCACAGCAACCCAGCTACCAAGAGTGCTAGTGGTGTCCAACGTTTTTCATTGGGTAGCTTGACCTAAGGAAGTATTTTTTTTATATTAGAGAAAGCAAAGATGAATGAAGCAAATGAAGAACTTCACTCCGTCCCTTTGCTATGTCCAAGGGTATATTCATGATTCAGGGCTCCACTAAGATATAGCAGCAAATGCTGTCTCTGATACTATCAGATCTTACACCAAGAGTGTTTCAGTCACCTAGCAGTGATTCTGGGATCTGTCTTTGTAACTCAGATTATGAATTAATAACTAATTTAAGTCCTTACTGCTGTAATTTAAATTGTCAGCATATACCGTATATATTCGAGTATAAACTGGCCCAAATATAAGCTGAGGCACCTAATTTTACCACAAAAAACTGGGAAAACGTATTGCCTCGAGTATAAGACTAGGGTGGGAAATGCATCAGCTACTGGTAAATTTCAAAATAAAAATAGATTGCAATAAAATTACACTAATTGAGGCATAGAGCTTCTCATATCTTCTCGGCACAGCAACCCAGCTGGGTTGCTGTGCCGAGGGTAGAGGCTATGCGCCTTTCTCTCCTCCTCTCTCAGCACAGAGATCCAGCTAGGTTGCTGTGCCGAAAGGAGAGGAGGCATGCGGCTGGTAAAAGCCCTGCAAGGGGTTTCTTTCAGCYCCACACCTTCCCACCAGGACCCTCGAAAATAAGCCAAGAGAAGAAGAACTKTATTTTTATACTCTGCTTTCATCTCCCCGAAGGGACTCRGGGCAGCTTATATGGGGCCAAGCCCAAACACATGCARTTAAAAACATTGCAAATAAAATATTAAAACAACATAAAACAACATTATAACAATAGAAAAACAAACTTCATAAGCAGCAACCAGAAGTACTTCAAGTCTCGGGGGGGGGGGTGATCAATGAGGTGTATAGAGCATATAGCAACATAGAGATAGAGCAATTGTAACAAAGTCGTTTTAGCTTAAAAAGTACAGTAATCAAATACAGGAGCTTGATTTAGACCATGGTCGGGGACAACATGTCAAGGGAATTGTCAATCGAATGCCTAGCAGAACATCCACGTCTTTAGTTCCTTACGAAACGTGGATAGGGAGGGTGCTAGCCTGATCTCCCTGGGGAGGGAGTTCCAGTGTCAAGGGGCCACCACCGAAAATGCCCTTTCTCTTGTCCCCACAACTGCACCTGAGACAGGTGGGACTGAGAGAAGAGCCTTCCCAGAAGATCTTAGAGACTATGTGGGCTCGTAGGGGAAGATACGGTCACGAAGATAGACAGGTCTTTTTCAGCATAAAAATATGCTCAAAGAGTAGACTTATACTCGAGTATGTACAGTATGTCCAAATGACAGCAGGAGTCATATATCTGAGAAATTGTGAGCTATCTGGAAGATTTAGGCTCTGTTCTTGACAGCTATGGCAAATACCAAGTAATAGCTTAACCCTCTTAAATTAATCTATGATAGTGGCTTTCAGAAAACAGAAAATGTAAAGCCATTAGGTTACTTGTTTGATCAGTTATTTTACCTTCCTTCCATAAAGGTGGTTAATAATTTGGATAGTTTAAAACCAAACATTGAAAACTCAGTGTTCCCAATATAATGTAATGCTTGGAGCTTTCTCTTTTTTTACAGATTAATTGACATAGTCTCCAAGATTAAGTATTATTTTTAAGTAAACTCCTTTTCAGGCAGTTGAAAATTATTTTGAGTTACTGATCTTATTTATAATTTAAAACAATTATGTCTTCAAATGTATACTTTAAAATCAGTGTACAATTTACATAAAAGAACTTTGTTCAAAGACTAAGAAGTCTTTGAACAGTAAACTTTTCCTGGAAAATACTGGCATAGTAGATGGCATAAAACCAAGAAAACACTGTAAAGTAGAAAGCAAATGGTTTTGTTTCCTGTAATCTTAGTTTTGCTAAATGCTAGCTGGAAAACTTGAAAGCAATGTCTCTTTAGAGAAAGTTTATATACTTGATTTTGTAGGGTAACATTGTTTCATGCAAGGGACTTCCTATAATTCTTCTATGGTTGCTCACATTTATAAACATTTTTATCTCAACGATCACCATGGTGCCTCTAACCTCTCAGCAGAGGAACAATCAGCAGAGGAATTTTCCAAACCTTAAATCTCAATGCTGTTGTGTAGGGGATATTTTTAAATCTCTAAAGAGAGAGAGGTTCAGATAAAAGCTCATAGTTAAAAATACTCTGTACATTCAGTCCTTGTACCCATTGCTAAGATTTAGTTACTATACTTGGTTCTTACTGTCACATTTAGTCCATTTCAAAACTATGGTTTGTAGCTAGCTATGAAGTAAGGGCAGGGAATAAGTTCATGCAAGGACGATGGGAAAGGGAGAACGGAAGCAGAACATTTATATAGTTACAAGCTATGATATTATTATCTATATAAATAAAAATGTAATGTTCGTTTGTGGGATTAACATAACTCAAAAACCACTGGACGAATTGCCGCCAAATTTGGCCACAAGACACCTACTAACCCAAGGAGTGGCCATCACTCAAAAAATTGAGTTTGTCATTTGGGAGTTGTAGTTGTTGGGATTTATAGTTAATCTACAATCAAAGAGCATTCTAAACTCCACCAGTGATGGAATTTATTTTATTTATTTATTTATTTTATTTTATTTTATTTTATTGCATTTGTTGACCGCCGTTCTCAGCCCTTTCGGGCGACTCACGGCGGTGTACAACATATAAACAGTTTACAATAAAACCCTCATACAAACGAAATATACACATAACCATCAATAATACAACAATAATATAATTACTCTAAATCATCCGTGTCGTCTCATTATAGAATCGTAAACCAATCTCGTATTCCATATTCCGTTCCAGGTTATCATTGCCACTTATTATAGCATTTAGTTAAACGCCTGCTCGAATAACCAGGTCTTTAGACCCTTGCGGAATGACATAAGGGAGGGCGCCTGTCTGATGTCCACCGGGAGGGTGCTCCATAGCCGGGGTGCCACCACCGAGAAGGCCCTATCTCTCGTCCCCGCCAAACGTGCCTGTGAGGCAGGCGGGATCGAGAGAAGGGCCTCCCCAGATGATCTCAAGGCCCTCGTGGGCTCATAGGCCGAGATGCGGTCAGAAAGGTATTTTGGGCCGGAACCGTTTAGGGCTTTGTAGGCCAACACCAGCACCTTAAATTGGGCCCGGTAGCAGATCGGCAGCCAGTGGAGCTGGAACAACAAGGGCGTTGTGTGCTCCCTGCGTCCCGCTCCTGTTAATAACATGGCTGCCGCACGCTGGACTAGCTGTAGCTTCCGGGCCGTCTTGAACCAAACGTAGCACACAGGACTCCCATGACCAACAGAAAACACTAGAAGGGTTAGGTGGGCATTGACCTTGAGTTTGGGAGTTGTAGTACACCTACATCCAGAGATTATTATGCKCTTTTCCTGTGGACTCAAACAATGATGGATCTGGACCAAACTTGGCACGAATATTCCATATGCACAAATATGAACACAGATGGAGTTTGGGGAAAATAGACTTGACATTTGGGAGTTGTAGTTACTGGGATTTACAATTCAYCTACAATCAAAGAGCATTCTGAACTCCACCAACGACAGATTTGGGGCAAASTTYCCACACAGAACCCCCATGACCAACAGAAAATACTTAAGGCCATCCAGTCCAACTCCCTTCACCAGGACAAGAAAATGTAATCAAAGYCTTCCTGACAAAGAGCCATCYAGCCATAGATATAGATAGATATGATTCACACACAGAGAGATATAGTATCCTAGATTTGAAAGGGACCCTTAAAGAAGGACAATTATATGTTGCATGTTCCAGAGTAGGCAAACCAGACAATCTCCACATCAACACTGAAAAAGAAACAACAAGAAATACTGTTTACCCACAAGCATAAAGAAATTACATATATTAGAAATCAACAGTTTCTCATTACTTTATTTTCCAGATCACCAGACTGGGCCACAGCAACACATGGCAGGGGACAGCTAGTTGTTAATAATAATACATTTTATTTGTTACCCGCCTCTCTTCATGGCGCAAAGCAGGGTACAACACAGTCAAAACACAACAACATAAAATGCGTACAATATATATATATACAGTGTGTTGTGTATAAACACATAGCTGTAAAATACATGCAGAAAAACACATGCTGCAAAGATCAAAACAAAGTGGCAATAGAATGCAAATTCCAAATTCATGGTTCAAAATGGATTAGGCAGGCCTTACCGAGTGACCTTTCTTTTCTGTTTCAGGGTTACCTTTGTTTGCCCTATATGGCACTGCAGCAGCACCATCTCCTCTCTGATGTAAGCATTCGAGGCTTTGTGGCAGGAGCCACCAACATCCTCTTCCGTCAACAGAAGCATCTAAGTGATGCTATTGTAGAGGTAAAAATATTTTACATGTTCCTCAAATATTTGGACTGTGAACAATGAGCAATGAGAGAAGCTACACAGTAAATGTTATCAGAAGCTGATCTGAGAAAATTCTTATTTTCCAACAAGCAGAAATGTCTAGCACCACAAGGTTATATTACCCAGTGCTGCTCTTTTCTTTCCCTCTTCTGTTTCCTCTCTCTGTCCTCTTGCTTACTTTGTCCGTCTGGGTACTCTCATTCCATCTTTCCCTCTGCTTACTCTTTTCCTCCGCTTCTTAACCAGCAGCAGGATTCTCTCTCTCTCTCTCTCTCTCTCTCTCTCTTTCATTCTTTGATTAACTGCTTGAAAATGTGAGGGTTCTGCAGTGAAACTATTTTGTGAAACTGCCTAGAAGCCTTCTGGAGAAATGAACATTCAGTTTTTACTTCTAGCTCTTGGATGGTTAGTGAAAGTTAAGGAAGTCTATACTAAAGTTAGTGCAGCAGGCTACAGGTAGATTTTGTGTACATTGAACCATCAGAAAGCAAAGGTGTCACTCTCAGGTACATCTCTGGACAAATTCAAATTTTGGAGTGTGTTGGATTTCTGGGTAAGGAATACTCAACTTTTAGCTACAATGACTTATTTATGAATAGTTTCCTGTTGCTTGTTGAAAGCTGTCCTGAGTCCCTCCTTGGAGGTTGAGAAGGACGAGGTATAAATGTTCTAAATAAATAAATAAAATAAATTTATTATTATTGATATTATTATTATGCTCAAGATCACAGGATCAATTCATTTTCATATAAATTGCTTGTATACATTACTATAGTATAATAAAAAATGACTACACACGTCCTTAACTGAGGACTGCCTAAACAGCTTGTATTAGTCATTTTCAAGTGTTGTTACATCTATATTCTGCTCAAGACTGAGTAAATGATTTTCATTGTATTCCCACAACAGTCTTGTGAGTTAATTCAGACTAAGAGAAGACCTGATTGAAGGTCACTTAGTGAGATTCAAGGCCTGTTGTAGAGTACAGTTTGATGGACTAGAGTTGCTCCAGACATGAACTGTGGTTTATGGTATCATGGAAATGAATAGTTCCTCTAAGAAGAAGCTTAATTTTCTTTCCTTCTCCCTCTTGGAGCTGTTTTTACATTTGGGATTGTTTTCAACAGATTGAGGAAGCTCTTGTCCAGGTACATGATCCAGAGCTCAGAAAGATTTTGAATCCTACAACAGCTGACCTGAGGTTTGCAGACTTCTTAGTGAAGCATGTAACTGACAACAGGGACGATGTGTTCCTAGATGGCACTGGCTGGGAAGGAGGAGATGAGTGGATCCGAGCCCAGTTTGGTTCATATCTCCATGCCCTGCTTGCTGCTACTCTACAGCCAGGTATGCCTTGATGTATAACATAAATATATAATTCAGTTTTTTCAAACTAACTGACAAAATTCTGAACATAAGAAGGATAAAAAGAGGACAGTAAAGAAACTAAAGAATGAATCTTGCCTGGTTAATATTTGCAAAGAAATTCTAATGCCATGTTGAAATGTACCCCTGCAACTAACAACCTCTATATGCTTATCTGTTGCCCAAGAAACCAGATATCAGTGGTCAGAAAATTCTAATTTTTATGGGCATTATGTTATTCAAGGATAGTCATACATGTATGAAGAATCATGTGTGAAGAGTTGTGTGTTGTCTAAATTACATTCAGTGGCGTGTGCACAATAGTCTCCAAGTCTGTTTCTTCATCTTATCAACACATTTTTTAAAAAAATATTTGATAAAGCTTAGATCTTTCAGATATTTGGAACACAGTAGATCCCATCTCAGTTATACTTAAGAGCAGATAAATTGCAATCAATGAGTCATAAGTAAGTAGGTCTCCTGTCACATGACTAAACACATGCCTACAAAGAGACTAAGAAAGGCTGAGCCCTGTTTGATTTTAAAGTGTGCTGTTACTTCCCATTGATTTTACAAATTAAACTTCCTTTTATCTCCAGTGATGTTGGATCTCTTGAGTATAGAACTCTGCTACAAAACTACAAATGGCGAGATGCCCATTTTCAGGGACTTTGGTGTTCATGGCTATTGTGGCCACTGGGTTTGCTTTAGATTTGCAAAATAAAAAAAACTTACATAAACACTATGATTGTAGAGTGTATATTTTATCTTAATATGACCCTCCATATTCACAGATTTTGCAGCCAGAGATTCAACCATCTACAGCTTGCAAACGTTTTTAAAAAATGTATTGTTGAAGGCTTTCATGGTCGGAATCACTGGGTTGTTGTAGGTTTTTTCGGGCTATATGGCCATGTTCTAGAGGCATTCCTTCCTGATGTTTCGCCTGCATCTATGGCAAGCATCCTCAGAGGTAGTGAGGTCTGTTGGAACTAGGAAAATTGGGTCATCTGTGGAATGACCAGGGTGGGACAAAGAACTCTTGTCTCTTGGAGCTAGGTGTGAATGTTTAAAAAACACCAAAAAGACAAATCTTGATTTTGCCGTTTCATGAAAGGGACAAAATTTTATTACGCTATTGTATCTACTGGGACTTGGGCATCCAAGTGCCCACTGTACATATGAAACAAAAAAGTCCATAACTTTTTATTCATCATTTAACTTTTTGTTCATCAGATAGCGAAAAAATATTGTCAGATTTTGGAACAACTTTTGTAGCAGCTTGGAAGAACACCCACAATTACCGAGTATGGAACAGCAATAAACACCCAGCTCTTGCAGAGGTCAACCCTTGGTAAGAAACTGAAGAATTTGTGTATAAAAAGTGAAAAGTTAATGCTGAGGAATAATACAGATTTTTTTTGAAGTTCCCAGGGTTCTGCTTTGTTAGAATCTTAAATCAGTTCTGGAACCCTCTCCCCATAAACAATTGCAGGAAAGCCTAAAAATCATGATAGAAGAAATTCCTGTTTGGCCAAGATCATCCACTTCATTCGCATGGGAAGAAATATGGGCTTTTGTGTCCTTAATTACATTGGTCAGAATTTTAAGATACAACAGAAGTTCTATCTCTTCTAGTAGAGATACCCAGTCAATTTTTAACTTTGAATTTTAAATTCACATTCTATTTCTGATGTATTTTATTTTTTGTTTCATGTATTTTAATTTCTGTATTTTATAGAAATACATTTTAATATATGCATTTTAGTGAATATATTTTATTATGATGATGTACTTTAACTGTGCTATGCTCCACCCTGAGCTATGAGAAAAAGCAAAAAACAAAATACTGATACAAATGATTATTGTATTATTATCAGTAGATTAGTAGGTTCTATAGAGAAGTTATGTGACTCCTGGACAAATGGCAATATGTGGGACACATAAAATATGGCAACTATAGTTACAGTGGGAATATCACCTTTCTTTAGATAGCCAAATGTGACAGGTTTTCAACCATTTATGACAGGAGCCCCCAGTGGCGTAGTGAGTTAAAGCCTTGTGCTGGCAGGACTGCTGACTGACAGGTCAGCAGTTCAAATCCAGGGAGAGCAGGTTGAGCTGTCTCTGTCAGCTCCAGCTTCCCATGCAGGGACATGAGAGAAGCCTCCCACAAGGATAATAAAGCATCAAAACATCCGGGTGTCCCCTGGGCAATGTCCTTGCAGGTGGCCAATTCTCTCACACTAGAAGTGACTTGCAGTTTCTCAAGTCGCTCCTGACACACACACACAAATATCATTAGACATCATGGCTACAGCTGATGGGAGTTGTGATATAGTAATATCAGGAAGGCTGTAGTTTGTTCCGTTTAGAAAAAAAAGAGAAACATTTATGACTTCTGTCATTTGAGTCCTCAAAAAGACAAATTAGAATCTTAGTTGAGGCACGGAAATTAACTGAAAGGGTCCCTAGAAATCACTTTCTAGAACGTCCATATTGTATATGCTTGAAATGCATTGCGTTTTTTGCACTTAGCTTTTGTTGAAAGCCAGGCAAAGCGCACAATGATATCTGCCTGAATAGTGGAAGTACAAGAAATTAGAGGTGTATTTAGGTGAGTGTTTGTTTGCCAACCTCTGAAGTATTCATCTAAACACAACACAAGCTAGAGAGAAATGTTTCCAAAATTCAGCTGGCCATCCCAACAAAAACGCACAATAATAGGAGAATGAATGCTATAGAGCCACCAAAGAGAGAAGGAACTTGAGGGAATGGCTTCATATTGAGCTTGGAAGTTATTTTTGAACTAAATTTCCGGAATCTTCCAGTTGGGATGGCTTATTCTGACTGGTGGATTCTGGGTCCTGTTTTCCTTAAAAAGTAAAATTTCCAAGCTCTGTATCTCATGCAGAAGGAAAAAAAGTAGAGAACTCATGACAAGTAATTTGAAAATTGAAATCTCTCCTCCAAACATGTCTATCCAGATAGGAATGGAAATATTTAATGTGGTTTGGCAATAAGATAATGTTTTATGGTTTCTGCTACTGTTTTTAACGCTAATAATACATTTTAAATGTTAATCCTATTTTGTTTTCTTTCTTTCCTCCCTCCTGTCTCCCGAACACTTCTTAGTCACCCATTCCAAGGCCAATACTCTGTTTCAGATGTAAAATTAAGATTATCACAGTAAGTGCTATATCTATATATGCTTTTTAATATTGTACTTGTAAACACGTGTGTCATGTTAGTTCCTGCAAGCCTTAATACCCAGAACAGTAATGTCTATTGAAGTGGTGGAGTAAAGTTGTATTGAAATGTCTAAGCCCCCAATATTAAGAGAGTCTTCAAGGGGTGAGGAGGTAGACCCCTTCTGCACTGCTATATAATCCAGATTATCATATCAGATAATCCACATTATCTGCGTTGAACTAGATTATATGAGTCTACACTGCCATATAATCCAGTTCAAATCAGATAATCTGGATTTTATATGGCAGTGTAGAAGGGGCTGCAAAATGGCATCCATTTAAATACACATGTACCTTTTATCATGTTTAAATATTATCAAACACTTAGAAATAGAAGTATTTAGAACACCAACATCTACTATTGTTTTCCTCTTATTCAGTTCAGTTCAGAATAGTGAACGGGGTAAGAAGATTGGAAATGCTGTGGTCAGTACCAGTCGGAATGTTGTACAGACAGGAAGAGCTGTAGGTAAGAAACCCCATAACTGAAAATAAGAATTTTCTGATAGCTATATCTCACAAATGCTCTATTAACTGCTCTGTTTTAATGACTTATTTCAAACAAGAATATAAGTTTTCTATATCTGGAGGTAATTTGGGTATATATATGAACACAAACATTGTCATCTTGAGTAACGGAAGCAATTACATTAAAGGTAACTGAATTACTCTGTGCCAAGTAGGACAGGAGAACTTCATGGAAAATATTGCCCCAATCAAATGTTTGTGTGATTGTGACAATAAGCTGGCACACTGTATATCTCCAACTAATTCACTGTTTTCCTTGCCTGCCCAACTCAAGGCCAACAAATGGGTGCTGCATACCATATTTAAACGAGCCCAATGCTCCCTTTTATTTGGCCAAATTACATTTGTAATTTGTGCAAATTATAAACTACCCTGAGTCCCCTTGGGGAGAGAGGGCGGTCTGTAAATATATTATTATTATTATTATTATTATTATTATTATTATTATTATTATTATTATTATTACAACATTGCCAAAATTGAGGTATGCATTAGAATTATGCACATAAACCCAACTGTGTGAACAAGGAGGCAGAGGGGCACAAAGAGGCTGTTCCCAGTGGTGGTGGCTCTATGAGACCCAGAGGAAGAGGAGCATCTTGTGGGTGACCCAGTCATTTTTGCCACTTAGCCACAGATACTGCCTCCCAGGAGATCCTCAGGGTCTTTCACCTGCTCCCTGCTAGGCTCAGACTCATGCAGTTCCCAACTGGTCTCATTGACGAGGCCTTTGAAACCTCCCCCTCGGTTTTGAAAGTCTTGTGAATGAAGCCAGTTGAGAACCGTGCAAAGCTGGCAAATTGGGAGCATTACATTCAAGGCCAAATCTGGTTTTTTTTGTAATGTGCATGTTGAAAATTGGGGGGCAGTACTCTCGATGGTGCAGTATATTCAAGTAAATATGGTAATTACATTTCTATAAATATATATTTAAATATTTATAAATATATACATGTGGCAATTATGTAACAAAAATTGAAAAAAAATCTGTTCCTGGTTTGAAAGTGTAATTTCCTGTTTAATTGTGCAGTGCTTACTTTAAAATTTATTTATTATTTATTTATTTACAGCTTTTATATTCCGCCTTTCTCACCCCGCAGGGGACTCTGGGCGGATTACAGTGTACACATATATGGCAAACATTCAATGCCAATTTTTGACATACAAACATATACAGACATACACAGAGGCTATTTAACTTTTTCTGGCCGCCAGGGGAGCTGTCGCTTTCGTCGTCCATCTGCGATGCTGATGAAGCACTTTCGCATTCCCCGCATGCTTCCCTGCTGGAATACTTTGCTGGAGTCTTCTTTATGGCCTCATAAATCAGTTAATTTAGCCTCCTCACACTTTAAGGTGGTACCTAATTTTCCTACTTGACAGATGCAACTGTCTTTTGGGTTGCAAAGGTCGACAACAGGCTACACACAATTGGTTGGAAACCCACTCCAACCCGGGCTGGCTTCGAACTCATGACCTTTTGGTCAGAGTGATCTTAATGCAGCTGACACTCAGCCAGCTGCACCACAATCCCGGTAAAAATAGTTGTTATACTCCAGAAACTTCATTTTTGTAGCTGACACAAACTATGTTAAATTGGTAGAGACTCTATGAGATATTAATTGAAAAACTATAGCAAAATTTGCAGCAGGATGTCCCACATAATCAATTTAATAATTTTTCCATGTTTTAATGATAGAACCAATTAGGAAATTATATTTGTAACCTAGGAACAAAAATCATGATACATTGTTATTGGCCACTTGGACTCATGGTACCAGGTTTCAGTGCATATAATAACAATAATAATAATAATAATAATAATAATAATAATAATAATAATAATCCTTTATTTGTACCCTGCTACCATCTCCCATAGGACTCGGTGCGGCTTACAGGAGGCCGAGCCCAAAATACATTGTAAACAAAACAAAACAAAAAAACCCTTAGACTTCACAGCAGTCTATAACACTTACTTTCCATTTTATTGTCCCTGACCATGAGTTATACTGACTAGGGCTGACGAAAATTGTAGTACAAAATGTTTGTAAAGCTTTCTGCAAGATGCTTTACCATCTGGGCAATAACAATGTGTCACTCCCTTTAGAAGCCTAACTCAATATAAAACAGCTTTAGAAGCATGCTTCGTTGTGCTGGTTGCTAGTTGTTTATCTTCCTTCACAGAGGAAATCAAATAGTTTGAGCATGGTATGGTACAATAAGGATGCCTTGATTAGTATCCTTGTTTGATGGTTCTGTATATAATTCTGTGAGAGTAAACAATTGTTTCTGGGTTTATATCATATTATTGGTCTCTAACTAGCCCTTCCTTCCTCCTCTTCCCCAATCCTTCGTTTTAAAATGCAGGTCAGTCAGTTGGAGGAGCCCTCACAAGTGCAAAATCAGCCATGTCCTCATGGTTTTCTACTTTCACCCAGTCAACACACAGCCTTGGAGAGTAAGTGTTCGGCAGGAAATCAAATCCATGCGTATATTTTAAGGAACCAAGAGGATTTGCTTTTAAAATGCACAAGAATGTAGGCAGCATGAAGATGACGATGATCTTGGAACCTGTATCGCAGGATGTCACTTTGCGTTTTGCATTCATGCCTATTTGTGTTTTAAACCCAAGCCCTGCTGTAGGAGAGGCTTTATTTTCCAATGTATGCTGTTCTCTGAGTGGTGGTGATATATGTATATTTTGCTGTATTTTAAGTCCAATTGTCTAGACTTTTAAAAAATGGAGCAGAATCGAGCTGAGTCAGACTTCTGCTTGAAAGAGAATATTCCGCTAAGAAGCTCATGCTTTACCATGTATAAATGCATGTACACGCACGAACACACACACACCTCAATTCTATATGCGGAAACGAGTACCTTTTCATTTCAGTGGAGCATATTTCCACAAACGTATGCAGCAAAGTGTAGCCTAACTCTGCATTTCTAAGCCACTTGAAAATATAATGAAGTGAAACAGATGAAATTTAAATGAGCCAAATTAAGATCCCAGGTCCAGTACTTTAAACATCCACAAGAAAGCTGACAGAACCACCCTGATTATTTTGTATCTGCTTGTAATTGTATTTAAGTTTTATTAATTAATTAAGTTATAAAAAGCAGAGGATTTAAAAACTAAGTGAAAACTATAGCTTCATCATAACTTATACAGCCTATTTCAAACTTGAAAGAGTTGTCTGGGAATCTTCTCAGAAAAACTGCTTGCTCAGTCCATACAGGCTCCCTTTTTCATAATATTCATGTAAACTTTTTTCGTGTGGTCTTTTTCCTGTCAGTGAGAGACACTGTGATTTCATGTTCCCTCTTGATTGACCAATATTCTTGCAAGTGTTAGGGGGCTTTCACCTATAAGCAAATACCTACCTCTTAGGCACGATTTGACTCTTAAGATAAAGAGTCAGTGGTGCATCTTTTTTGATCCTAGCTGCTATATATATATTTTTAGTTTGACACATGGGTTCACATACCTGAGAAATAATTGCAGTATCAGTAATTATCACTCCCTGAAATCTAAGAGGAGAGCCTAACTCAGTTTGTGAGAGTAGGTCACACCTCTGAGCAAAACAGTAATGTACCAAAAGGAAATTATTTCCTTGGCCTAAATTGATTGTGCTACACACTGTAGTATCAGGTTTTTCAGCCCCCTCTTTTCCCTTCCTGCAATCCTCTGTGGCTCTAAAATATGGTTTCTGTTTCTCTGGAGACACTCTGGCAAGATTGTGTCCCTCTCACTTGTATTCTTTAAAGCAGTGGTTCTCAACCTTCCTAATGCCGCGACCCCTTAGTACAGTTTGTCATGTTGTGGTGACTCCCAACCATAACCCTAACTTTATGAATCGCCATGTAAATAATGATCTGCAGGATGTATTTTCATTCACTGGAACAAATTTGGCACAAATACCCGGTATGCCCAAATTTGAATACTGGGGCGTTGGCGGGGGGATTGATTTTGTCATTTGGGAGTTGTAGTTGCTGGGATTTACAGTTAACCTGCGAACAAAGAGCATTCCGAACCCCACCAACAATGGAATTGAACCAAACTTGGCACACAGAACTCCCATGACCAACAGAAAATACTGGAAGGGTTTGGTGACCATTGACCTTGAGTTTGGGAGTTGAAGTTCGCCTACATCCAGAGAGCATTATAGACTCAAACAATGATGGATCTGGACCAAACTTGGTACGGATACTCAATATGCCCAAATGTGAACACTGATGGGGTTTGGGGAAAATAGACTTAGACATTTGGGAGTTGTACTTGCTGGGATTTATAGTTCACCTACAATCAAGGAGCATTCTGAATCCCACCAATGATAAAATTGGGCCAGAGTTCCCACACAGAACCCCCATGACCAACAGAAAATACTGTGTTTTCTGATGGTCTTTGGCGACCCCTCTGACACACCTTCGTGACCCCCCCCCCGGGTCCCGGCCCCCAGGTTGAGAAACACTGCTTTAAAGTTACTTCCATGAGCAACAAGAGCATTGGATACGACCTCTGGGTACAACTGTTAAACCTCCATCCCAACTATCTTCACAGACCTGAAATTACCTAAATGTCAGAGAGATAATAGAGTTCCCATGTAACTTGTGTCTGCCACTGATGGGTAACTTCTAGTTGATATTAATTTATGATTCTGCTGTCAACAGTTAACTTTGCAGAGATTCTTGTTTTCTACCAGATGGTTTTTAGGACAGGCTCTGGTTACACTAGGAAGGTCTTCAAATAAGCAGTTAGGACCACAGCATTTTCCTGTTCATCTACCACAGAAAAAAAAATCCCTGCCATTACTGCAGACAGCTGCATTACTTTGCACATGTAACACAAACATTTGTGGCCAGTTCTGACATTTTATAGATACAATTATAAAAGTTTCACTTATACATTCACACACCAACATACAATATTTGTACAGATGCGCTGTTTTACACATATAACAGATGCTCTGTCCTTTGTATAATAAGCCTATTTGCAAGAAAGCAAGTTTCTTCCAAACATATCCTAACATCTGAAACAGGACTTGGCCAAACCCTTATATATTGAATAGAAAATGCTATTCTTTTTTCAGCCAGTAGTGCATTACTATAGGAATAAATTAAAATGTAGTTCAGTTACTCCTTCACTGGATATATAGAATAACTGGACATACCAATGCAATCTTTGTTATGTAGAAAGCAAACTGAAGTAACAGCTAGGATCCTCTCTCTGGATCCGGGTCCTGGAGGGATTGAGAACTTTCTGAACCAGAAACCTCAGAGAGGGCTGGATGGGAGAGAAAGTTCCCAGTGGTCAAGATGTAGAGCTATGGTGAACTTCTGTAACCATCACTACAAAAATATACTGCATTTCTAGATCTAGGCCAGAGCTTGTATATTGCCTCCTTTTTCTTGACAGTTGTAACATTTAATATCACATGTTCCCTATATGTTTTCATACTTAGAGCACATCTTGATTACCTTGTAAATTAAGGCAAAAGCTCTGGAAAAATCGACAAAAGCATGACACATGAGATGGTTAAATCTAAGTTCATTATGCAATTTATAATAACCACCATTTTGAGTGAATATTCAGTATTTTGCATACTTCTAAAACATCTGTATATTTCAGTAGGAAAAAAAATGGCAGTGCTTAATTGGATAAGTAATGTTGATGCAGTTTATAAAGAGTATTTGTGTTCTTGAATAGTTAATTGGCTACTTTATATTAAGGAGACAGTCTGATACATACTGAATTGTTTTAAGTACACAATGTGGTGTATTCAATTTTTGGAATAGCATACAGTAGTACATCCAGAAAAAAAAAACATTCAGATTCACCCAAACTAGTTTGTTTTAGTGGAATACAAAGGAGGGTTGATCTGAGGAGTATTTCTGTATATTCTATCAATTAATAACTTCCTGTTTGGATTGTGGGACAGACACGTTTTGTCTATTTTCAATAGAAGGTATTTGTTATAAGTTGTTTGAAGCACTTTGGATGAAAAAATACCAGGTAATATATAGTATTGTAGCACTGGAATTCATGTTTGCAGTAAGCGGATAAATGTAACATAAAATTCTGCTTTTATAGTTTCTATCTTTTTTATTTAAAAAAAAAAACCTTGCTGCTTGCTAAAATTGTTGGGACATTTCAAGAAAGTGAGGTAAAAAGAGAATATAGTTTCATAGTACTTCTAGAGATTTCCTGAGAGCCAGTTTGAACTCTGAGCAAAATCGGTGTTGGGAGCATAGGGACAGCTGAGACTCAAATAAACACACTCCAGATGGACCCAGGTAGTAAAGTTTAAAATTACAAACTGCATACCTGTTCTAGAGATAATGAGGGGTGGTAAAAAATAAAAGCATGTGTAAGAGCAACTCACCATAGCCATGTTCTGTTGTTATGTGCCAGGTATACTTCAAGGGATGTGGGTATATTTAAGCCTTTCCCCAGTATTGTCACATTTCTCACATGGAAAGCAACATATGTTAAGAGTAGTTTTTGTCCAGGCTCTTGAAGCAACCAATACTTTACAACAGATCTTGCTCATGTGACTCACTTTTTTTTTTGACGGAAGGGATGATGGAGGGCTTGGGCATTCCTGTGCCACAAAGCATAACCACTAACCATCTCTCTTTTTTTAAAAGAACCATCAATAACAATAGCCAGACTTGCTCGCATGTTCATTAGAAAAACTGATTGGGGTGCCAACACTGCATAGTGCATTTTTTCACAGCTTTTGCAGTATTATGCTGCTGTCAAAACTTCTGATCTTACACACAACTGATCAGGCTGCTGACTTATTTCTAGAGATTTTATGTTGTAGTGTTTCGTACTACAGAAGTTTGCATCATGCATAAATGAACATTGATTTTTAAGCTCCTGCGACTATTTGGAGATGCGTACCATATTACACCATCAATTTCACAAAGCTGGCATTTAAATTGGTTGCCTAATCATGGATTAATGTTATTAAACACAACACAGGTTACTTCCCTTTCAATTTTTGCTGCTATCTGTTGTTGTGGGGAAATTGTCATCTATTGTCACTGTGCAAAGAGTTTCTTGTGTTCAAAGATTGAATGCTTCTGCTGTATATTTTGTTCTATAGAAAATTATTAAAAAAACTCATTGAACTTCAGTGTCTGCCTGGTTATTAATTACCACTGCTAGAAGTAACATGTAGATATTTCAGAAGGAACTGGCAAAACTAGTTGGTTACCCCTTATCTAAGAAAACTATGAAATCCATATGGTTTCTATAGCTCATGGGTTGACTTCAAGGTGCATGCATATGGATTTAGAAGTGGCCTGAGAATTATTCTGATATATGACTTTGGACATGTTTTCCTTTCAAGACTGGTAGAGGTTTGCTATTAACTGTGGTTTCATGCAGAAAATGGGGGACGGGGACATGTGGATATGGGGCAGTAATTCTGTATGAGAACTAATGATAAAGGACAAAAGAGAAGTAGCTATTATAAGTCGTGGATGTGCATAAAAGCAACCTACAAACTCTGTTTGTTGTGAGATAATTTCCAGCAACCCATCAAATGGAGGGGTTCATGCTCCCCAATTCTAACCTATAACCTGAAATTCAAAAAAGCATTCTTAATATCAGCTATCTAAGCACTGACCAAAAATCCTAACATTTCCCCCTATTAGTTGCATTTTTGTATTTGCTGCATTACAATCAAATCATACTAAATAAAACTTCAAATGTATTATAAAGGTGCTCAATGGACTCATTCTGAAAATGAGCTGTGAATATATATGTGATGTCAAATATACAACCTTATTAGTGATTCTTTAAAGAACTATCTCACTCAGGATGTGGCCAGTTAGCTACAAATGATCAAATACTGTACAATCCTATCCTGTTATCTAAACAAATAAAGGACTAAATCCAGTTTAGAGTAGTCCATAGCAATTTGGTTAGGCAACACACCATTGAACTTCCATTAAACTGTAGTAATTAACTGGAACAATTATTCCCTATACTTTCTGTTGACAGAAAGGAACAGATTTACTCATAGTAACATTTACAACAAACTTTCTTCTCTTTGTGCATAAATTCTGTAAGCGGCAGGGGTGGGGATTCATAACAATCAACATGGGAAGAATACAAAGCAGTAGGAACTTTTCAGCTATGATTCTCTCGTCCTACCAAGTTTATCCTAGCTACAGGAGATCAATTCTTACTCTGTGTATAGTCCCCAGTGTTACCTCTCATTCCAGTCCCAGGTTTGCTATCTAAATTTTTATTTTCTAAATTTCAAAATATCCAATAAAGTAAGCTTTGGTTCATGAAAGACTAAGTCACAACAAATGTGTTTTGCATTTGTAGGTAGCTCACTACTCCTGCCTTTGCTATTACAAATTAACTAGAGCACCTCAATGTAATATTTCTAGAATTATGTATTCTACTTTTAGTAGTACATTCAAGATGGGGTTGATTACTTTGTTCAGAAAAAGATGCAGCAGGAAATGCAGGTTGTAGCATTTCCTCAAAATTTTAGATGTGAAATTGTTTCCGCCAACATTGCAGATGGAAACAACAATTTCACATACAAATTTTTAGGAAATGCTACAACCTTTCAGTAGATTGAATAACGCAGGAAAGGATGCAGGAGGTATTTCCACTTCCTGTGGTCTTGTGTTTTCTGAACGGCTGACATTTATCTACCAGTACATTAGTAGAAAGTGGTTGACACAAATGTTTAGGGTCACTGGCAAGAGATATACTTTCACACACTTTGCCAATCATTGTAGCAACACACTATTGTGTCTAAAAAGTGTTGTAAAAACAGTCTTGGAAAAAAAACACGTGAAGAAAGAAGGATCAATTCAATTTTTTTAATAAATTAATATCATCCAAAATACAGTGCCAGAACATGATGCAGCTGAACATGCTAGTATGATCCATCATGAAGCACCTGTGCTCATGTAAGATTGGCGGCTCCCCGCTACTGCTAGTGGTTCCTGGGATTAATGCCAGAGCAGCACAAGTTTAACTGCTCTCCTGCAGAGTATTCCTGAACAGAATTTGCTCCCCTCAAAAAAAGTAAAGGAAAAAAAAGACAACTAAGGGATACCTATACACAGTCACACTACAGTAAATGCTTGTTATTAAATTAACAAAAATAAAGACCTGGTTAATCCACACTAACTCGTAGTTTACATTGGGGCAGGGGAAAACATAAGCAGCAGGAAGTAATATGCATGAGCCAATGTTTTTGAAACAATGTAGAGCTATTTACTGATCAAAAGCTCCACGCAAACCCGCACTAGGAAGGGCTGGCAATCAGCACTGCAAGCCCAGCAACATAAGTTCACACGTGGTAAACTATCAGCTGCTCGGAAGACCTGTATTCTAAATAGACAGGTATAAGTTAGTGAAAATACATGCACCTAATAATAATTACAATATTAATAATACAGCTTGACTGAGCCTGCAGTCATTTTGCCCTGCATGTCACTGAAAAATGGAAGATCTACCCTTCCTACCACAGGTAGATCCATGGGATTTGCTTCTTCTTTTACATGGCATAATTATACCAACACGGCTGCAACACAAGTGCAGCACATTCCATTAGGCCACACGATTTAGATAACTAGCACATAGAGAAATTTCCAGAACTCACTCAAATATAACTGGAAGATACTTTGAGCAATTAATATATCCTAGAGACAGAAGCTGCTTTTGGGAAATTTCCTGAACTAAGTCTTGACTGGACTAAAAGAAATTTAGACAATAAGCAGATGCTTTAAGCTTGCAATATACATATAGATCCCATCAGCTCTCAGAGCATTTTTATTGAGATTATGGAAGCGTGTCTGCTTCTAAATTCACTGATTTAAACTCAATGGCCACAAAAGGTTATGTAGGGCATACAGACAAGACAGCTTAAATGTTTCAGTTTCCAGCCCTCTTTCCTCAAAGAATTGTCATGATAACAAATTATAGGCATGCATTCTCTGATTTTGGGGCCTATACAGGTGGTAGTGTGACCATCTCTCCATCCAGCTCAAATTCATCAGCCCCATCTGGTGGAAAGAGATAAGGAGGAGGCTTCCATGGGGACTCTTCAAGACAAGATGGGTATAGCTTTCCCACAGTACACCGGAAGTCTTTCCCCAAATCCCAGAGCACCCGTTCAGATATGTGTTGGCGCAAGAACCAACGGTCAAGGTCCATATCATATTGGTAGGTTGCATACTTGGCTCTCTCATTCATATGGGTTTCTCGTATGAAGACACACAAAGTGTTAGAGATCACAACAGCTCTGACGCAGGGGTCAGAATACCGTTTGGCAGGGATATTGGCTGCCATCTGCCATTCATTTTTATTCACATCATAAACCTCCACAGTTACGGAAGACCCATCTACAGTGCTAGTCGGGAGCCGAATACCAGAGTTGCCACCAACATGCAGGCCTCCAATATAAAATATTTTATCTCCAAAAGCAGCAGCTGAAGCAAAACATCTACTAGTTTGTCTCATAGCCATTTCAACCCAAGCATCGGACCTGGGGAAGTAACAGTACATCAGATTGTGTGCCATTACATAAATGCAGTTATGAACAGCAACTGCTGTATTCCATTGCCACGCACAAGGCAGTGGGCTTACCATGGTCCATTCATCTCTCTCAGTATCATATCTTTCCACAGTTCTTCTGTTGAGCTCTCCACCTACACTATCTCCTCCAATTGCATAGATGTGGCCTTCACAGCAAACTAGGGATGGCTTTATGCGAACAAACAGCATTGGACTCTTTGGAAACCAAGTGTTTTGCTGGGCATCAAACCAGTAAAAGCAATTCACAGTTCGGAAGGCAACCTGAAGTTTGCTTGTTTTACTGTGGTTGGTTTTTGTGTTTTTCAGTGGGATTTGTCCACCTGCTATATAAATATCATTATCAGGAGTTACAAGTGTTCCAACCTTATGCAAATCAGCAGGAGGGCTGCAGAGCTTGTAAACTTTCTCAGCCTGTGGGCTGTAGCATATTGAAGAGTAAAGACTACCAGGGTTTTCAGCAGCAGCTTCAATGAAGATCATCATTTCCTCTTTAGTCATTCCAAGTCTTGGTTTAAAAAATTTCGGCATGGATTTATATAATCCTTGAACCACTACCGATTTATCATTTGGTGGTAAGCCTTGAAACCAAGCTCTTTGTGTAACTTCAGAAAGCGCATCAATTCTTATTTGGCTAAGAACAGATGATAAATACTGTGATCGAGATTCTGTGTTGTACTCCAGCCACAACATAGCAGCTTCGCGAACTGTTTCCTCTTTTTCCACATTTAAATTGTCACTACTCAAAATGTCTATCAGCAGATCATGTGAGAGTTGTATGAAAGCCTCTTGGTGGTATACAGCAGTGAACTTGTGTTCTACCATCCGTTTAGCATTCTGTTTCAACTCCTCACAACTGAAAAGATCAGCAAAACTCAAGAGCCGCACACAGTTCTCTGCATTTATTTTTTTGATTAAGTATTCTCTACAGCGTTGTAACACATCTTCTACCTGCAATGAAAGGTCAATGAAATAAGATCAAACCGATGGTTAGAGTAAGTTCATATCTATCTGTAAATCAAGACAAAAAAGGAACATGTATGCAATAATTTCTATACCATTGGTATGGGATCTAGGGTTCAAATTGGAAAAGAAACAATGGGGCATAATCTGAAAAATTCAAGAATATGAATGAATTTTAACACAAGAGAAAATACTTGAAAATTATGCATAGATGGTACTATTATCCCCTAAAATTCCATAAAATTAATAATGGATTTCCAAATTATGTTGGAGAAAATGTAAAGAAATAGGGGATTGAAGCCACATGTGGTTAACATACTCAAAAGTATTAATTTTTTGGAATTAAATTCTATCATGGATAAGGTAAACAGAGGGAGAAACAGATCTTCTCCTATTTCTCCTTTTGCTAATCTTAGTTTATAACTTACACAACTTTTCCAATAGTGCTACAGCCCATACCCTATTTAATAATAAAACAATAATAAAACTTTATTTATACCCCGCCACCATCTCCCCAAGGAACTCGGAGCGGCTTACATGAGGCCAAGCCCAACAGTACATCAATAAACAAAGCAATAAACAAAAACAATAAATACAA